TTTTATAACTTGTGGAATCATAACTTCATATTTATTTGACTGGTGGTTTATTGTTAAGCGTTGTTGAATGGGAAATCTAACAACAATAATCAACCTATAGACATACATACAATATCACTATTTTCTAAGAGGAGGAGGATAATATGGAGAAGAGGTGGAAGAAGATGAAGATGGAAATCCATGCAGACTGACCCTTTCTGGCCGAGGTCCCTCTTGTAAACCGCGTCTTTGCCACTGGTGACTTTGTCCTTGTCTTCTCTGCCTCCTGAGGAAAACAGAACACGCCACGTTGAACACATCCCAGTACACACTACACACACAACAGGGAACACATTACGGTGAAAACACAACAGTGAACACGCAACAGTGTTCATAGTGAACAAACACAGTGAACACGTTATGGGGAACACTTAACTGTGAACTTGCCACAGTGAACATGCCACAGTGAATACGTCATGGGGAACACTTAGTTTAGTTTTAGTAGAGGTTTTACGGCGCTCGCAACTGCATAAGGTCATATGAGCGCCAGAAGATTAGAGGTGTTACAAGAGAGTAACGAACGTAAAAAAAGAAGAAGAGGAGATAAGGACGATGGATGTTTGATAGGAAAGAAAAAGCAAACCACACCAGAGCACCCGTCAATCACCCACGGGAACACTTAAACTGTGAACTTGCCACAGTGAACATGCCATGGTGAACGCACAAAAGTGACCATGACACAGTGAACACATTACAGTGAACACGCCAAGATGAACACGCCACAGTGAACATACAATGGTGAATATCATAGTCAACACTTCACAGTTAACACATCACAGACAACACATCTTAGTCGACACGCCGTAGTCAACACATAACATTCAACACACTACATACAGTCAGCACATCACAATCTTCATCTACATACATTGAAAACCTTGTAAAATCACAAAATCATTGAAGACATCAGTATTATTGCTTCATAGAAAAAAAACGTTTCAAAGCTGTGCAGGATTTCCTGGATTTTGTAGCTCTTTTTGGCTCAAGTCATTTTATTATGGGGAGGGGGGGGGGGGGGGTTGAGTTTGAAAGTTTGTGTTCAGGCAAGTGATCATAGAAACAGGCACAATGTTTTGGTTGAGACAAATTTTAACAATTTGACGGAACGAAAGCAAGTTCCTGTGCTGCAAGGTCAGTGTTATATCCGAGTCTGTGCAAACTGAACCCTGATATAGCCAGGTTCCTATTACTTACATTATAGAGAGAAAAAAACTGGCGGATTTGATTTATCACTGTTATATATATCAAAGTTCCTGTAATAACAGAGGCTGTTAGAAACGGACTGGACTATATTAACGCTTTATTTCCAAGGGGGGCAAACCTACTACGCCGGGGCCCTTTTTGGTGCTAAATCTAAAAATGACAAAACCGTCACTAAACGGGTCATTAAATCAAAACAAGCGAACCTTTTTTGATAGTTCTTCATCTAATGAAAGAACTTCCAGTATAAGAGACCTGTTTTCGGAAACTGCCAAAAAGTAATTTGATGTCAAAGTCGTGGTAAAGGAATATACCCAAGCTGCTGTCAGCGACTCACCGGCACAGGGGTTCCGACCGCGAGCTGCTGGGAGCGGTTTGCCGGAGAAAAAGAGTTACCTTGGAAACAACTAACCTTTGGCCTTGCTGGAGCCAGGTCGGTTGTTGTTGTAGCCTGGGCGACCTTGACCCTCCAGCTCTGAGAGACTGGCGCTGCTGGAGCTGAGCGACAGACCGTGGGTGCTGACTGAGCGACTGAGATGCTGGATGGCCACGCCCCCTCCCCCGGTCAAGAGCTCTTCATAGCGCCGGGCACACTGGGGGGAGAGAGAGAGAGAATGAGAGAGAGAGAGAGAGAGAGAGAGAGAGGGGG